AAGAAGATGGTGTCTTCGCTGTTAATTTTCCTGTTCAGAAATATATGAAACTTGAAATCTCCACGTTCCGCCTATGCGCTCCGAGCATTCCAGCAAAAAGCGTTGTACGATTCGTGCGCTAACCCACAGCTACACGACTACTATTATTTTAGGCTTGCCAATAGACATGAAATTACTTTGTAATCTCGGCGCGGGATTGTGGGAGAGTTCACCCGAAGGGCTGAAGGGGGTAAACAATTTTGCACACATCAACAATCACCTGCGTTGACATATCAGCACCACATGCAACCTCGATCGGGCCTAAATGACGAATCATGTATCTTCGGTTCCTGAAAAGCAATCTATTTATTGTCCTCTACAACAAAGCTTCGCACTACATTGATATCCATGTTGTATCGTAGCTCCTAGTGAGCCCAACTCCGCTGGCTGAGAACTGCGGGGATCGTGGGCTAGCACAGCCCTGCCGCGCTCTTCGCGGGCTGTGTTCCGGGTCTGCGTGTCGGTGTTCTATTCGGAGATATTTTTCAAAAGTCATCGTCCCCGTAGATGCGCAATTTTAAAGCACGAGTAAATTTGGCGATGGGGACAACGGCACGACGTGGGATGAGAGAAAAAAGGCACAGGAAGGGAGAAAGCACGGGTAAATTTGGCGATGGGGACAACGGCACGACGTGGGATGAGAGGAAAAAGGCACAGGAAGGGAGAACACATGAGGTTGACGTTTCTATTAAGAAGACGAAGGACGATTCTCTCCCTCCAACTCATATTACTTTATCAACTCGAACAAATCTGTCAACAGCTACATATTCGCTATCAACCCACACTCTTTAAAATCTAAACACTCTTTTACAACATTCAAAATGAAGTCGGCTGTCATCTTCTCGGCCGTCGCCCTCTTCGGCGCCGTATTCGCCGCTCCCCTCGAAACCTCTCCCAACGAGGCTTCCCAGCTCTTCGCTCGCGTAAGTTACACACGGTCTCAAGGTTCAGATCGTCCAGATTTACTGACAAGTCTGCTATAACAGAAGCTCTGTGTGGCTGAGGAGGGCATTGCCTGCTACTACGACAGCAACCGGTGCTACTGGCACGAATGCTCCCACTGCAGCTGCGACGGCGTCAACAACGGCGCCAAGCTGATCCGCCGCGACTGCACCGACGCGAAGGACGCCGCCCACTGCATTTATGTCTCCAACCTCAAGGCTTAAGACAATGACTCCGTTATGATGGACTTTGTTTCGGGGGTTTCCGACTACCGAGGTGGAAATGGGACTTGTCTTTTTCTCTGCCGTTAATCAGTAATAATACCTGAATTGAAGATTCTTACCCCGGCTATTGCTGCGGATGGTCCGTGATCAGGCGGCGCCGCCGACCCAACTTGAAATATTGTACTCTAACCAATTGCAGAGTTGGGTCATGGAAAGCGATTTGAAGCTCCTTGGGCACCTCACTGGCCTGTAAGACTCTCTGAAGATATGACAGATACGATTGATTCGATCGTAATTTATCCGTCTTTAGATGTTTGTTTTTCCATTTCTGAAATCGGTCCATACGCTTTCCTCTGGATACTGTACCTATGGATCCTCTTCAATCATCATCTTACAGCGAAGCTCTCATTATGCGGACTGAAATTGAGTCCAGTCGGTGATATTAGGTAACCTCAACCCCCAAAGTAGTCTTGGTTTCTCACTCACAGGCAGCTACCCACTTACTCTCGGACCTTTTTCCACTGTAATTGTACGTCAGCTCCGCATAAGCAGCCTGGAGATGTTCGATTCAGTTAGCGATTACCCGCGATCTAAAGTTACACTCTAACAGAATGTCACAGCACTACTGCAGTCCAGTCCCTAGGCTGTGCTCATTGCCTGTTAGTGAGGACCCCAGACATTTCCTTCCAATGGCGCAGTCGACAGCTACATTTCCAACCTCCATCTGCAGGAATGCAATTAAGTCTTGGCTCTTGTGCCGAGATTGCCTTGGATTTGAACTCAACGGTTTGAACTCAACGGTCTTCACTCACCTTACGCATTTAAATGAGCGACGACGTGATTCTACGGAGCTGAACACGCCATAGCCATGTCCGATGATAGCTTCACGTTCCCGACTGATCCGACGAGCGCAGAATCACAGTTCACCCAGCATGACTTGCAGCTCCTAGCACAATCGTCTCCAGAATCGCCTCTCCGAGTTGTTGCACTCGTCGATTACGACTCCTTCTATGCCCAATACGAATCAGTCAGGCTTGGTCTTCCTCCTTCCAAGCCCCTCGCAGTGCGCCAATGGAACGCCATCATCGCGTTGAATTATCCAGCAAAGGATCGCGGACTGAAGAGGACTATCTCGGTGGAGGAAGCCCGTCGGCTCTGCCCAGACATCGTCCTTCAACATGTCCCAACTTGGAGGGAAGGCGATGATTGCTGGAGGTACAGGGCCGACGTTCTGGACAATTTGACGACGGACAAGGCCTCTCTGGACCCATATCGCGACATGTCGCGAAGGACGATGAAGCTTGTGCGAAGGATTCTTCCGGCCACACCTGCGCCTACCATCGAGAGAGCCGGGGTGGATGAGTTCTACGTTGACCTGTCAGCTCAAGTCTACCAGGTTCTGACAGAGCGATTCCCCGGATTGGGATCGCTCAGAAACAACCCCGAAGAGACGCTACCGTTGCCCCCGGTGGACACGTCGCTCGACTGGAAGTCGGACAAAGTGATGGATCTTCCCAATGCCCGTGACCCAGAATACATACTCGACTGGGACGATGTGGTACTGAGCATCGGGGCTAGCATTATTCGCAATATCCGCAAAGAGATCAAGGCGGAACTGGAACTCACGACGTCCGCTGGCATTAGCCATAACAAGATGCTCGCCAAGGTCGCTTCTCGAATGAACAAACCATTCGGTCAAACAATCATCAGGCGCAAATGCATCCCCACCATTATGCCGACCCTCAAAGTGACCTCACTCTCCGGTTTGGCAAGGCAGCTTGGTCAGAAAGTCGTCAAGGCGTTCGGGTCCGATGGCATACGCGACCTACTCCAGGTCTCACTTGCAGAGATGAGATCAGAATTGGGAGCGCCAGATGGTCAATGGGTGTATAGGGCCATCAGAGGTGACGAGACAGGCCCAGTGAGGCCCCGGAGTGAAGTCCAGTCTTTGCTGGCTGCCAAGACTTTTGTGCCCAAAGCCGAGAACCTTCAACAGGCCAGCAAATGGCTGCGAATCTTTGCGGCAGATCTGGAGTCGCGACTACGCGATCTCGATCTGGATTCAGAGGTGCCTCGACGACCCAGGACTATTGCTGTTCAACACCATATCCGGGGTCGGTTCGGCCCGACGCGATCCAAGCAAGCGCCGATCCCACCGCACGTCGAGATCAACCGGGATACCATATTTAACATGCTGCATGGATTACTCAAGGATCTTACAGACCACGGTGAGTCTTGGCCGTGCTTGGGTATCTCTGTTAGCATGTCGAATCTGGAATCCGGGAAGCCTACGTCTGATCCTGGGCACCGTATCACATCCTTCTTTACATCGGACTCCTCTGCGTCCCCTCGGAAACGAAGCCGAGGGGGAGATGTGGCGAACATGCATGCAGGTAGAAAAAGGATGTATACAGCGAACGATGCAGCAGAAGACTCAACATCAGGGAGATTAGCTACTGCGAGTATCTCGGCTCGGGCCGTTCAAGGTAGCTCCACAGACGAGCAAGGACAGCAATACTTGTGCCCTAAGTGTGACGAGGCTGTGCAGCCAGAAGATGTTCTCGAACATTTGGATTGGCATGTCGCAATGGAGATTCAGAACCAGGAGAGCTGATCATACAAAGAAGTCGGCCTCTCGTCAGTCTATGGATCCCCACGACAGTGTCTCTGTCTGCATTGGCCGTGCTCTCTAGACGTAATTCACGTCAGGTAGGAAGACAGCGGTGGACGGGGTAGTAGGATAACCCATGGACTTCAAAGCCGGTTTATTGGCACGGAACATCTGCCGCAGATATCCTGTTTCCGTTTTTAGGGGTTAATCACGACTTGATGACGAATGGAATTCATCGTGATGTCTAGTTCAGTCTCCCACGTTGCATTGAACCCGGCATGGTTGGTTAAGATCTGCCGATAGGGCTGGGTATTTCGAACAGCCTAGTCTCAGGTAGTAGAGGGTGTGATCAATAGCCATCAACAAAAAGCGAGAATACTCTGATACAGAATTCGATGCGCTCCAAGATGGCATGGATCTAAGTAGCATGCAGACTGGTTTGGCACCATCAAGCTACTAACACCCAGTCAGACTTGACACTGGCGCGGCAAGAGACACCAAGACACGACGCTCTATCTTTATACATACAGATTTCAAACATAGGCGAGTCTTACTCGATACAGCTCAGAACGCCTCCATTTCTATTCCCTTTCCTGATTCACAGGCTTTGGGCAGCTCGAGACTCGAGTTGAAGCTCACACAACGAATGGATGATCCACTATTCCCCAGACTCCGAGGGATAAATTACCGTTTCTGGCAAGTGGGGGAGGGGCTTACAATCCGCGGGGTTCACAAGTCGGACGGGATGATGCCATTGTGCCGTTCCTCAGACGATTGTCCACATCAGGTAAAAGTTCGCCGAGTGTATTCCTTCTAGACAACGACGGCTGCTTGTTGTACTACAGCAAAAGGAAAGAAAGCAAGACTCGGGCGCTTTCGGACCATTTTCGGGGTCCACCGTTGAAGCCCATCTGGTCGAATTGGCTTCGGGTCATTGGCCGGCTATAGATGGAATAAGAGCTCCCGAGTTTGACGGAATCGTGGGGAGCTTTGGCACGGGGTTAATGCTATAGAGGGGTTCTAGTGGGAGCTGTGCGAGCTTTAAAAAGCAATGCCTCGCCCTCGCATATTCGCCTTACCAGGCTTTTCGTCTCTCGAAGCTGATCCTTTGCCTCTGATCTTTCTCTCCTTCGTCAGTTTTCTTGCCCGTCCCTGGATCCCATCGTATCTGCACTTTGATCAACATGCCTAGCATCGCTCGATTCCGCACGCTATGGGGTATCTCCCCTGGCGACAACTTCGCCAACTGGGTCGCTCTATTCCCAGATCTCAAGGCCAAGGGCTACAGTAAGTCCGCATTCGCATCGTTGTGACTTTAATTGTGAGAAAACCCTCGCCACTGACTCACTACACCGCGTAGCCGGAGTCGAGATTGACTACAGAGACATTCCCGCCGAGCAACTACCCGAACTGAGACGCATCCTCGATCAATTTGATTTTCAGCTTGTCGCACAGTAAGCTTGAAGATCTCCCCTAGCCACCAAAAACCACCTATGCTGATGCCCCTGCTCTAGAATCATGTCCTCATGGCCCGGATACATAGGTCCCAGGCCACCAGGGCTGACGCCAAAAGACCACCTCGAGCACTATCGCAAGCAACTCGAACGTGCCCAAGTCCTCAAGCCCGTGAAAGTGAACGCACAGTCTGGAAGGTACGCTCCCCAACAGGTCACACATTGATACCGGCACAGTGCTGAGTCTCGAGGAATAGCGACATCTGGACTCTCGACCAGTCCGTCGAGTTCTACCAAGGCACATTCAAGATCGACGAGGAACTGGGGTTTGCGGGGCGAGTGACACACGAGACACACCGAAACCGATCCATGTTCAACCCGTACGCGGCAAGGTACATCCTGGAAAGAGTGCCGAAGTGAGTACTCACTCTCAATGACGTGTACCGAGAACTACTCTGACAGTGGCTACTCTGCTTCAGCCTTCGCATAACCGCCGACATCTCGCACTGGGTCGTCGTCTCGGAGCGTCTGTTGGACGAGTCCGTAGAAGACCAGGAGGTCCTCGAAAAGGTCATCCCGCATGTAAGTTGAACGGAAACACCATGCTTCAAGCGCGTAGGTGACCAACGTCGATACTGACGTCCATAGATCTACCACGTCCACGCCCGCATCGGCACAACACAGGCCTCGCAGTGCGCCGACCCTTCAGACCCAGTCTATAAGCCCGAGAGGGAGTTCTTTGAGCGGTTCTGGACAAAGGTCATTCAACACAGCGCGACTCGCGGCGCCGATTATCAGATCTCGTTTACGCCTGAATACGGGTTAGTTGCAATCAGCTTATTTTCCATCCCACAAGCAGGCAAACAGGTTGGAATCATACTTGCATACTGACACCCGCTGCTTACACCAGACCGTACCCGTACCACCCCTATCACAGCCCGAGAGTGTATACTGAAGTCGCCGATACTGAGGGTCTTCGCCTAGAGGGACTCTTCTTGGCGGCCTTGTAGACAGATTGCTTGCCTCCAGGGCCGAGACGTGGTGGGCATGATTATTTTGAGATGGGGATACGGGAACTTAACCTTACTTATTAGAAGCCATAGACTCACTGGCCGTGATCTTGGACTCAGTAGACATAGACAGCCTTTGATTCATTGCACCGTTTGACAGTCTGGAGTGAAATCCGAAAGACTTAACATTGCTTTTGAATCATATCCTACTTCCTTGATACAATACAAAAGCAATTCACTGCTCGTTGCATCTCATTCAGTTGAGCATACCCAGATACCTCGTCTCAATCTTTGTATCCTTGGTCGCACCCTTGACTCCAATCTTGACAACCTCACCAGGGACAATGTCTACCAAGTTATCGCTGAATACCACAGCATCATCCTCAGCCTCTAACGCGACACCCTTGACGGGAACCTCGGCACTAATCTCCACCACATCACCGTCCTCTGCAAGTGTCGCCTTGAGGTTCTTGGGCTTCTGCAAGTGCAGATACTTGAGCGGCTCAGGCCAATTGACGTACCGCGCAATCTGCTTGCCATTCTGAATCAGGTACGCTGCGACGACGGTCTTGGCCTCATCGCCCTTTTGCCTCACAGGCACCTCAAAGGCGGCCATCTCCGTTGACCTGTTCTCAGGCAGGACAAAGCCCTTGTCAACAGTCTCAGAGTACGTCTCCTCCCCGGTCTCGACGTCCCACGCCTTGACCAGCAAGTCAACGGTCAGGTCTTCCAGTTGCAAGTTCGAGCCCCAAATTTCAATCTGCGTCTTGGTTTCGATATCGACGCGCGTATACTTGTCCTTGGGGTGCTTATGCTCCGTGCGGGTGATGCCAATGGAGATTGGCGCCATCTCGCGCTTTACGGTGAAGTAGGCGTGCTTCGGGCGGAGGTAGTAGTCGCAGATGGCCCATGAAGTCACGGGCCAGCAGTCGTTGATCTGCCATACCAGTGCTCCGCCGCAGTATTCCCTCCCGGGACCTTTCCACTGCCTCTTCCACAGTCTGTAGGCCGAGGCCAAGCATTCAGCCTGCATCAGCTGCGTGCAGTACACAAAGTGCTCCAAGGGATCGGGCGCGTAGCGGAAGTTCTCTACCAGGTACAAGGCAATGCGGCGCTCGTGGCCGTCGGCTTTGTTGTGGAAGTCGACAGTCGAGGATTGAGGGTAGCGGTCTGGGTCGTCCTTGCCTTTGGGCAGGTATGCATCAATGGTCTTGACCGAGGGGAATGCCTCCATGCCGAACTCTGACACGAAGCGGCCGACAAGCTTGTCAAAGTTTTGGTACTTTTCTTGTGTACCGTGCCAGACGTTCCACTGGTGAAGATCGCCGACCGTAGGGTCTCTGGTGTCCTCCCCACTCCAAGGGCTGCCAAAGTGGTAGTAGGTATCGGGGATGAGGTCTTTGCACGTATCGACGAGAATCTTTTCGTAAATGTATCGCGCGGGGAAATCGGTCTTGAGCCAGCTCTCTGCGTCCTTGTTTGCGAGATCGTATGTCAGATTCTCGCTCTCTGCGTACTGGTAATCTTCGTTGTTGCCCGCCCAAATAACGATGGAGGGGTGGTGACGCAGCATCTTAACGTTTTCTCTCGCCTCTCTGTCGATAGACTTTAGAAGATCCGGCCAGGTAGGGTAGTTGCCGCATCCAAACATGAAGTCTTGCCACACGAGGATGCCATACTCGTCGCAGGCATCGTAGAACTCCTGCTCCTCGTAGATACCACCACCCCAGACACGAACCATGAACTGATTGCCGTCTGCCAGCAGGCGGATCCAGTCGTAGTACCTCTCCTTGCTGATGCGAGGGATGAAGTTGTCGGCAGGAATCCAGTCGCTTCCGCCGCAGAAGATGGGGACGTTGTTGACTTGGAAGAAGAATGATGTTCCCGGTTGCTCTTTGACGGGTCTCTGCACCAGCTCGACCTTGCGAATACCAATCTTCTTGGACAGTGTGTCGACCTCGTCGCTGCCACTAAGGAGGGTGGCTGTCACGGTGTACAAGGGCTGCTTGCCGTAGCGAATTGGATACCACAGCGCAGGGTCTTGTATTTGGAAGGTTGCTGCGATATCCGCGTCGGCTTTGGCGTCGATCGTCTCAGAGGCCAGCGACTTGCCATCGAGTGACACATCGAAGCGGACCTTCGAGGCCTTGCCTTCGGTCGTGGCGTGAGCGACTACCTTGGCACTCTTGAGGGAGTCGTCCACAGTGGTCTCGAAGTAAAGATCGGATAGGCGCGACTCGTAAATTTCGAGGTTGATTGGCCTCCAAGGACCGCACGTCAAAAGAGTCGGGCCCCAATCCCAGCCCTAGCAGCGTCAGTATAATCATCCCAGCCAAATTAGGGCCTATGGAGCGCATACCCAGTGGTATTGAGCTTTGCGGACTGCAAGTCTCGAGTTGTCGCCGTTCCAGCATCCCCACTTGTGATCAGGGTACTTCTCAACCAGCTTCCAACCCCGTAGGTATGCGCTGTCAAAGGTGATCTCGAGCTCGTTCTCCCCATCCTTTTTCAGGACAGATGTGACATCGACACGCTCTGGTGTGAACATGTTATCCGTTTCCAGGATTGTCTTGCCATTGAGCACAACGGTAGCAAAGGTGTCGAGACCGTCAAAGGCCAAGATTGCCTTGGCACCCTCGGGGATAGCCTTTGAGGCGAAAGTGGTCTTGTACAGCCATTGCACCTCGCCAATCCACTGGACATCAAGCTCGTTTTTGCCGATGAAGGGGTCGGGGATGACGTTGTGGTGAATGAGGTCGAGGTGGACGTTTGTTGGGAACTGACTGACAGCAAGGAGCTCGCTGTCCTCTTTGCCGGCCTGTTTAAAGTGCCAGTTCTTATCGATTGGGATGACGGTTCGTGATGCCATTGTTTGGAGGGGGCGGCGGTGGCTGGAGGTGTTAGCTGTGGTCGAGCTGCGGATGAGCTCTGGATGAACGCGCATTGCGTGGGGGAACAATTAGGATGCAATGAAGGTGGGCAGAGATGCCAATTGAAAGAGTAGATGGTTGGGATCTCACCAAAGATAAAAGGGAAGAATCCCGGGATATTTGCAGGCGCGCGCAAGAGCGACGATGAAGTCGGGGATGAGCGCACCGAGCGCAGGTGCCCCGCGGAGGATGGCGGGGTAGATGGGTACCTTAAGGTGCCTTAGATGCTGGTCCGGGACAGGGACGGGGGGTTGGAGGGGCCGAGGGGCAGATCGTGGTGCTGGGTGTCTTACTGTGAGAACGTCGAGGGTGAATGAGACAAGACAGTATTCTCGCTCAATTGGCAACCTCACGATGAAGCAAAGTAGCGGAGAGTAAGTGAGACTGTGTAGCTTATGATGGAAGCTCTCAGAGAATCTTCACGCGAAATGACTGCCATACGCGTGGAAGGCTGGGAGGGTGTGTCGTCCTCATATACTCCTCACCATCTCATCCATGCACCACACTCACTCAAACCAGACCGGGGAGCTCTCTCCACTTGAGCTCACCTCACCACCTCTCATCTCACCTCGTCTCATGCTTTTGGTCTTTGTCAGGTAATTGAGCTTTCTCTACACTAATTCGTATAGCTCGCCTCACCTCGGGATCGGCGCAGAGGTGTTCAAGCCAAAATATCCCTGAACTCCGACCAACATGTCCAGTTTCCAGGATGAGAGTCTCCTCCAACCTCGTGCAACTTGCCTCAGTCTGAACGACGGGACGACACCCGCCGAGATGCATCTCCATTCCCTCCATGCCCGATCCATGATCCAGGGCCCCTTTTTCCTCATAGGCTTTTTCCCCGTTGGATTTCTTGGAAATCAGCTCCCCCACACCTCCCACCTTGTCTGCTCTCACTTACCGGTATTCCCCATCTGGTCCAAGCCAGGCACGCGCGGAGAATGAGGGACGCCTCTTTTTCTCCAACGGGTACAAGATTATCTGTTCTCTAGGATTAGAAATGGAACATTGTTTAAAGTGTGCTGCCACTGTGTGGTTACATCCCTTGCTGGATAAAGTCAACCTGCCGGCGGGCTGCATTCGGAGGAAGCCACGCACATGGCTGCAAGACCAAGGGGTTTGAGTGAGGTGACCCTTTACCTCGTGCTTCTGTTCTAAGAGTCCAACTACTATGAGAACGTCTGTGATGGCAATGCTGCCCCTCACCTGCCTTACCTTGGCCGGGCTGGTTCTACAGTAGCAGCAGAGAAGCCCACTGACGGCGCAGCACATGTTCTTGGCAAGAGACCGTTCCCATCACGCCGGTATCCTCTTGGGTACAACTCGTCATGGCAAATCGGCAACTCTTCCTATTCGAAGGCCTTTGTCCCAGTTCCCATAAATATCGTCAAGTCTCACCATCGGGGATATAAATCACCACCGAACGGAGTGGAGAACCGCCTCTTTACCCCAAATATCCAAAAGTTTCCCCCAATTCCACCTTGGAGACCCCTGCTCACCTCGGTGGGGTTCCTTCGCGGAGGGAGGCCCTCCGTCTCCTCTGTTGGGAATAGCCGTGGGAATCGCTGCATCATTCTCCGATGCTTCAGGGCCCGAGGATAGCCTCATGACGACCACCTTCCACGTTGTCAGTCTCCCTCGCTCTTACGATACGGCAAGAGTTTACTCTGGTTTCGAATCACTGGCTTTCTCGGCCGTGTTACAAATGCATTGCAGTTCTGCAGCTCGCCGTTTCAGGTTTTCAATTGTGCCGTCCTTCTCATCCTGTTGCATCACATCGCCCGGGTGGGCTTCCAGTGGGACGGATGCATTCCCGCCGTTCATCATGCCCTTCACTTCACGGCCAATATCAGACTCGAGATATTACATTTGCCAACGATCCAGAAAGCCAAAGCTCCGTCATGAGACTATTAAGATTGCCTTTTTGATTCAAATTCCAAATCAGATCATGCAATTAGTTCCATGTTCGCCATAGTCGAACCCTTCTAGTCACCGGCAAAAGTCACATCATCAATACAAAAAGCACCCGCCCTGTCTGCATGTACCAAAAGGTGTCATTAATGTATGTAGTTGTGAAAGCGAAGCGTGTATGTGTATGGCCAGCCCTGACCTAAGAATGAGGTATCTATCCCGCAACGCCAGCTCCCCCAACTTCGACATGTGAAGCGAACGTGGCTCCTTCGTCGTCAACCAAAAGTCAGGTACAACGCTAATCTCGGACCCTCGAGCCCGTAGTATCCCGGCCCCGTGATGGACCATCCCTTGGAAAATAAAGACTCCTCGCAAAACTCCGCGCCCAAAGATACCAATTAGCAAGAATCCAAGTTTCGTCTCTTCTCTTCCACCATATGGCACCCTATGGTACCATGAGGCAAAAACACCTCAGCAGCAGTTGCCCCCTCTTCGTCGGTTCGACAACGTAAAGACCTCTTCCCAATCTCTCAGCCCCCAGTTTGCGCCGCTGCGCGTGTTTCGTCGGCCTCTTCTTCTGCGGACACCTCCCGCCGCTTCATCGAGTGTCGCGCCAGTCATGGAGCTCTTGATACTCGCGCCGTCGCTGGCGCCCGCATTCCATCCTCCTCCGTATCCATCGCCGTATTGAATGCCACTCATCGGGTCGTCCGGATCAATATCGCCCAGCTCGATCTTGGTAAGGATCATTCTAGCGAGCCTCGCAAAGATTTCGTCCACATTTTCGCCGTTAAACGCGCTCGATTCCATCACCACCGGGATCCCGACCGTCCCTGCCCATCTGTTTGCGTCCGCATTGCTGACTTCCCGCCCTTCCGGCGCCTCCGTGGCCTTCTGCTGCGTGCCGAGCGATGGCAGACTTGTTCCCGTTGATCCGACGGAGCCGTTTGCAAAGTACGACATGGAGCCGACGCTGCTCGGTGTTGGCGGAGGAAGGCTTGTATCGATAAGTTGGTCGGAAGCGAGGTCGAGCTTGTTGCCTACTAATAGGCATGATAGATTCGGGGATGCTAGTGCGCGTGCGTCATTGAGAAAGGGCTGCAGACCGCGGAAACTGCTGTGATTTGTGACATCGTAGACGAGAATAGCCCCGGCGGCGCCTCGGTAATATGATCGCGAAACGGAGCGGAATCGTTCGGTGCCGGCCGTATCCCAAAGCTGGTGTTCCTGTAATCAGCATCGCCTTCCTTTTTTTTCGGTCGCGCTGTTGAGAGTTTTAGGGGCATACCTGAAGCTTTATCCGTTTCCGCCGTGATCCGGTGCCGACTTTGATGATCTTGCTTGCAAACTCGACGCCGATGGTCTGTGACGACAGGACTCTCCACTCGTTCTTGACGAAGCGGTGAAGCAGACAGGACCTGAGATCGCGGAGAAGCGCCATGTCAGCTATGTGCGAGGGCCGGAGTTGGTCGCGTGCTCCCATGCGGGTGTTGATGCCACTCACTTGCCCGTCCCGCTTGGTCCTAGCAAGATAATCTTTGCCAAGTAGTCGTACATGCTACCCAGCTCCTGCGCACTCCGTCAGTATGCTATCCCATCCCATGTTCCCGGTCGTTATCGGATCGGAGCTCGTTTGGGTGGTTCCTCACCTGTTCGCCGGCGGTGCCGTTGCTCTCCTCGCTCGCGGCGCTGGAACCCCGCGGTCTCGTCATCGTGGCGGTGCGGAATGTGTATAAGGTATGGTATGCGGCGCGATGGGGTGTATCGGTCGAAAAAGTCGGGCGACAGCGGCGCAGCGGCGATAAGGCCACGAGGGAAGCTGAATGGCGGAGGAGGAGGAGGGAAAGTCGTGCAGTTTGTAAGCAAAAGACGGTGACAGTTCTAGTTTGGGCCGATAACGCGCTCAGGCGCAAGTTTCGATTCGCGAAAAGCAAGAAATGCTAGGCATAAAGAAACGGAGGAAGTAAAGAATCGACGGCCTCTGGGACTGGCAGCGACGTTGAGGTCGCAACGAGCAACGAAAAGGCGTCAGGTCGGGTTTGTTGTTTCGAGTTGGGCAAGGGACAGGAAAAGGAAGATTGACGTCGCTTGAGGTGCGCTCTTAGCCTTGCGCTGATTGCGTTCAGGTATCCGTAGTTGGTTGGTGCAGTAAAGTGCGCTGGCAAAGCACCCAGAGGTGCTGCAATGACGGCACACCACCACCACCAGACAACTGGGCCGGGCCTCCGCCGGGCTCCGCTGAGTCTGCGACATGGGATGGGGGGCTCGAGCGCCAACGTCAAGCCCACCCGCGTACAGCGCACGTGCCAGAGGTGTGGCTGCTCGGGGTACGTACCTTGGAGCCTTATCAGACGGCCCGAGATAGGATCTCATTGGTCCTGCACTCCGTCCTGTTCCAGTCCTGGGGATACGTACTGCCTCAGGTGACCCCGCCAATCGTGGCTTGATACTCCACCTCATAATCGATGGGACTGGCATTGTTCACCGAGCCTACACCGGCTGCCGAGGCTTGACTTTGTTCCTCACCGCACTACAGAGCTTTAGTGGAGCACCCGCTGTAAGCTCTCACCTCAACGCCGTCCTATTTGACCTCCTTTGACATCCATCCCTCAACTGCAACCCATGTGATTTGATTTATACTTTTTTCATAGACAAACATCATAATGAAGATTTCAGGCCACACTTTCATTATCTCTGGCGGGTAAGCAATGCATCTCAACTCCTCACGTAACAGGCTTCTCTCTACGGCCCAACCAGCCCATCATCCCTGATCACATGCCAATGACCACCACGCTAACTTCCATCCCATGACAGCGCGTCTGGCTTGGGACAGGCCTGCGTGGAGGACATATGCAACAATGGAGGAAACGTCGCCATTCTGGACATGAATGAGGATAGCGGCAATGAGCTGGTATCCAAGCTGGGCTCATCTGCAAAGTTCTTTGTCTGCGATGTTCTGGACACCAAGAGCATCGAGGCCGCCGTCCAGGGAACCGCCGCCTGGGTAAGGGAGTCAGGAAAGCCTGTCGGAGGTGTCATCCCAGCAGCCGGTGTTGGTAACCCGTCATCTGTATGCTTCCATCCCCGAGTCCGGCTACTGCCGTGTTGTGCATGTCTAACAATCAATCCAGATCCTCGACCGCCATGGCGCGCCATTCGGCCTAGATGCTTGGGACTTTGTCCTGAACATCAACCTACGCGGCACCATCGATCTTACCCGCCAGGCACTGGCTCTCATGGCCAAGAACGAGCCCTTCAAGCCCGACGGCGAGCGCGGCATCGTCATCATGGTCGCATCGTCTGCAGCCTTTGACGGCCAAAAGGGCCAGGTCGCCTATGCCGCGAGTAAAGGCGCTGTCGCGGCCATGACGCTTCCTATGACCCGTGACCTTGCCCGCTTCGGCATCCGCGTTGTCACCATCGCCCCGAGTCTATTCGAGTCACGCATGACTTCCATGATGTCCGACAAGGTCCGCGCCAGTCTCGAGCGTTCTATGGAGTTTCCCGTACGTGCGGGTAAGCCTGAGGAATTTGCGGCACTAGCACGGCATGCTATTGAGAATGTGATGCTCAATGGGACAGTGTTGAGGTTAGATGGTGGCATGCGGATGCCGAGTAAGATGTAGCCGAGTTCTATTCAATCAACACAACCATACATGCTTGTACACGACATGACAGCCTGTGAACATATCTTTGAGTAAACTCACTGCACTTGCTATCCGAAACATATGAAGTTGTGCGGTTGAGCTGGGTCGTAATTGTAGACTACATCTTTTGCTGGCGCAAGACACATCCTCTTACATGAAGTTACGTTATCATACAGATCGCAGAAACAGCACCCAACCGACCACCGGAGCCAAAGCAATCCCTAGAACACTGACGGATCCGAGCAAGAAGTCCTGGGCCAGGCCTTGACATAGTTGCAAACTCATGGAGTGAATTCCAATACGAATGTCCTCCGCGACACCAACCAACCATCCTTTGTCGACTTCCAAATGATGGTAAAGTGCAGCAGTAGCAGCACAGGTGGAGGTTACTGTTTCCAATATCCATAAGAGCATGACAGTTGGAAGAATCAAGGCAGCGGTTTTCAGACAAGACGAGACACGAATCGTAGCCTCGCCGCTGAGCATCTCTTCGTCAGATGGGAACGGGCGATAGCGTCGAAGAAAAACTTGAGGCATAAGCTCGTCACAAGATCGAAGTTGTCGCACAAAATCGTTGTAGCGATGAAGCGCAGCCATGTGGCACGTCGTATGGCGAACAGAGACGTCATGGAGGTGCCATCCCTCTCATTCTCGTCAGACGTGACTAGAGATGTCCAGGACAGCCGGATAGGAGCACAGGCAATCGTGGTGAGCGTCGATGCAACAACTTGTGGCAAGTGTGACTCTAGCCGGGAGTAGACAACCGATTGTGTTCCCTTGTAGCAGGCCCAAAGGCCAAGGGAAAGCAGCCGATGTGTAAGACTGTCGCGGCTTTTAGGCGTTTTTGGGACGCCACGAGGTGGAAATATGGTAGTGTCTGTACATGTATGGTTTGAATTTAACAAGTGCCGGGAGATCCTCCTCGTGGGGAAGAGATAGAGGAAGGGATATGGAGCCTGGTGTTTAAAAATCAGTATCCATCTCTTTGGTAGATTGCTGGAATAATATTACCATGAAGTTGACCGCCCGAATAAAATGGTCATAGAGTCCCAGCACTACGGTTCTCTGACCTCCCAAATTTGCAGGGTCCATCGTGAAGAATTTCTACCCCAGTATTTATTCGACGATGAAGAAATGATAGCGAATCCCTTGAACTCGAAGCGTGCTCTTAACTATTTATGACGGAGAATCATCGCTGCTATGCTGCCTGGGGTGGTCGGAACGTACCGGGTCATCATCACGAGTATAGTTCGCCCGGCACTTTAAGTGTCCGGTCGTGACTCAACTTCAAGCGGCGGATCTCGCGATTGGAATGGCACCTCCTGCGTTTCTCCATGTAGCCTTCATCAATAGAAAGTCATTGATTGTTTATTTCCACAACAAGATGTGCAAAAGTCGTTCTGACGGTTCAAGCGACGATACTAAGAAGTAGTTCTGCAGGCAGGGTGCTTCAGTTGGCAGCGACAGAACCGGTCCGAAGATACTGGTAGCCTGGCTAGGCTGCCTCAGGAGAAGTCATCAGTAGACGGGGCCCAGGGCTGGCGATGCTTCAGTCCTCGACAACGTGAAGATTTTATCTGCAACATGGATGTATTTTGAAGCATTAAGAAAGCAATGCATAGATACCGAGGAGGAGATCAACGCCTGAATATTACCTTTGCCTGTGTTTTTCAAGGAAGTTCGCTTGCTTTAGATGAGCAACTTTTCAGTAAATACACCAATACCAAACTTATAGGAGACTGGACAGACAACTTCAAGATTCATTTCATTCATCTTGCACAAAGAAGAAAGGCGAAGAAGAAGGAAGGGACGAGGGCTAGTAAGAAACAAAGGCGCTATTATGGCCGTCTTTAAAGTACTAATCCCAGACTCCAGAATCCAGATTGTCTCCTGCATCGTTATAGTGAACACGTGAGTGACTGAATACGCAACTTCATAAAATTAATATCACACCGCCTACTATGGAAGGTACGACCGGGTGAAGGGTGAGTGTGCCTTCCTACTTTCTTCTGAAAATTCCACCTCAGTCGCGTCTTTGGCCTGCCACTGTTTCTTTTCACCCTCACTCACCTTGGAATTTCTTCCTCTCAACACCTATCGAGTCTCGCAGACATTTCCCCTCATTCGAGATCGCCTGTCACTTCTTCTTTCACTTTCCTCACTACAGCCTTTCTCCTTGTCAAAATCCATCGAGTCTCGGAAATATTTGCCGCGCTCACACGAGATTGCCTCACTTTCCCATCTCACTCTCACCCTCATCCCACGCACACTGAGCATTGCAAATACTTTTCTCATACGAAATTGTCTTCGCTTCTCATCTACCACCAGCGACAAGATGAGTGCCATCGCTCCTATCCAATTCCCTGGCCAGCCTCCTACAAACGGCGGCAGCGGCGGATTTCCGCTCCAACGGATGCCCCAAGAGCTCATCTTGGAAATTCTCCGCCAGATGGACAACAACAACATCTCTCTCGTCCCGATCTCGAATACTAGCCGACTCATGAGAGGTCTCAGCATTCCCATCATCTTCCGAGTTTCCCAGATAAGCTGCGCTGAAGATGCCCTCGTCGATCATGTGATGTTGGTGTTTCGCAATAGACTCATCCTTCGTTCCATACAGTATGTCTGGTAATCTACCCACATGGCACAGGTCTGTTGACTGACAATTACTTCCTCTCAGAGTACTCAGCATCTACACAGAAGGTCCGCCAACCTCACGAACCCCCGGCCGCTTTGTTCAGGTCCAAGGCCCCAAGGCTGCCTGCAGACCGTCAACTCCAACGGACATCATGTTCCTTATCGGCGAATTGGATAATCTTCGGGAACTCCGGATGGACTTTCGATTCAAGGCAACGTTGTCTCTCATCAGACCGTTGTCTCGGATTATGGATGCAGTTCAGTGGGATCTCTCATTAGTCACTGCGTTGTCTTTCCCCGTCACGACAGACATCGGCTTCATTGTAACTGGCTTTCCGAATCTCCAAGCTTTCAGCTTCGAGGCGCCTTTGAACAAACCACTGTCCTCGATCGATGGTCTGAGCGACCTTGCGAGCATACTTGGACCCCAGCTTGCATATATTCAGATCTGCAAAATGCGATGGGAAGCCAGTGACTTCCAAGAGGTCCAAGCAATCTTCCCACAGATATCTCGCTTGACGATGGGCGGAACTATGGCCTTTGGAGGTTCCCCGGTGCGCCCAAGATGGGATCTGCAGGTAAGTTACTATTCCATTCTTTACCTTATTTGCCTCACTGCAGGTCTCATGAACACCCTACTGACCAGTTTCGCACATTAGTTAGCAACTGGACACCTGACGCCCATGGCCAACCTCAAAGTTCTTGCACTCAGTGATGAGCGGTGCCAGGCTTCCTCACCTCTGGATGCGATCTTGCCAGTTCACTATCAGGCCTCGACAATGGCCAAGAAGCTACTCCCCGCAATCGGTTTCCATGATGCTAGATCCCGGCGGTACGACCAGGCGTGGAGAGTCTGGCAGAACCTTCCTAACTTGGAAGTTCTCTACATCATGGACCGAGCTTTTCAGGGGCATTGCTTTGTTCCCGTCAAAGACAAACAAGGACAACTCATCGACGTCAAATTCTCGGATGGCGTGCAGGAGTTCCCTTGGCCTGTTGTCTGAGGGCCCTAGCTTCATGTCTTTTTGGCCAAGGGGCCATGCCATGCCTATGCCCGCGAGGATCTTCGTGTCCGTACTTTGAGGTTATTTGCAATTCATCCTGCTTTATCTGTTTCCCTGCCCAAGCACCTAATCGTTGGCCTACTAGAGGCGACAGTGCTATGTGATACAAGGGCATAAGGGCTAGTTAGTGAAGTGCACAAATGCACAAGTTGTATTGGCGTTCAGTTGAAATGGGATTTTATTTGGCAAAAGAATATCATGATTCTCACCGGTAATTTGTACTAGACCCCGTGTCTTGTCTGTTGTGATCTTTGTCTTTAGAGAAAGTGGCATCTCTGAACTTCTGGATAGCCTTTGTTCCATGTCGTGTCTGGTTCACTCCCCTTGTCATCGCTTCTATGGCACACCTTAAGACAAAGGCGTGTGTTCGTAATAAACGACTCTTTATTGCTCTTCAGTAAAGAATGGAAATATAGGACATCCAAGGTATCCGAGGTGGTTTGGCAGGCCAAGATAATTTGAATAAAATAAACCTCGGTGGCCTGAAATCCTACCTTACTGGAAGGCTGTGATAAGTACTTGATGCTATGTGCCTACTATTCCCAGTACCTAGGTATATGGCTTCCATTTGCCCCGAATATCTTCTCACGGTGGCCACTTCCTACAACTGCCTCAACTCTTTGTCAAGTTCGAAAGCTGCACCTTCTCGCAGCTTCCTTCATGAAAATGGCATAATACCAGCTTTGCCCTGGGCCATCTGCAATATTTGCTTATATTGCCAACACCCGCTACTTCCTCGCCTGGTACTCAATTCTTTTCTCTTGGCACTTTCCTGAGCTAACGAGGCTCCAATCGCTACCCACCTTCGAATTCCAACTTTCTCAAGTTATCTATCGACAAAGGTCATCGAGGAAACCACTACCATGGAGGATGTTTCCAGAGGGAGCGGCTATATTGCAACCAAAACGGTCATTTCCACTCCCTCATGGAGCGCCAGCCTTATGACCCTGCCTCTGGAGCTGATCATCGAGACTATCGGATTTGCTAAGCTCTCTAAAAGTCGAAGAGGCGTCTACTTTGAAGATCGAAACAGCCTCAGAGCGATGTCACGGGTCTGCAAGCTCTTCCGCGTTTTCACCATCCCTGACCTCTTCAAGACTGTCTGTCGAACAGTTAATGAGAACGAGATGCATTACAAACTCCAAGCCATTGAGGGGAACGCGTTGATTCTGGGTTCCATACGGTAAGTCCACACCCACTCGTCCTCTACTTTTCCTTCAGCGCCACATCTTCGGATGACCTGGCTCTGAATGCTAACGCCTTCCAAGCCACCTGTCTCTTTGCACTCAAGGCCCCGAGTGGCCGCCCACGAAGTGGCGGGATGACTACGACCCATCCATTATCCCATGTTCAAGAACCACAGCAGCACTTCTCGTCAAGATTTTGCGCAAGATCACCCCAGAGGAAGTTTGTCTTACCTTCAAGTGTGGAAACAAGTCCATGGTCGCCTTCTTCCGAGCAGAGCTTGGCAAGCAGAAAGCATGCCTGCAATCCGTCCGAGTCTTGACATACCCTTCATCGATCACCATCGGCTTCATTCCTCAGACATTTCCAAACCTTCGCTGCCTAAGTCTGGAACTGAACGGCTCGCCTATGCACACGGCCGGTCTCAGAATTATCGCCCCAAAGTTGACAACCCTTGCAACGCTAGAGCTCTACAAGGCGCATTGGAAATGTGATGATTTCAAGGAAGTCGTGAAGCTCTTTCCATCTATCAACTACCTTCTCATTGATGGCGAACTGAAGCTCACAAGAGTCTCGGTAAGTTCGTGAGCGTGACGCGCAACAAACCGCTCCCGTCAGCTTCTCCTTTGCCCCTAGTACCTGCTACGTTTCACAATGATGTTCATCCCCTACGTCAAGGCGAATGGTAGTCGGCGGACACCTATAAATCAATGCTCATGGTTCATTATAGGATATCATTCCAATCCTCAAACATCTTGACCACTTGGAGAAGTTGGCTATGACTGAGATTCCCGTCGTCTATCCACCGCGGGGACTGAGCGGTGCAGCTTTGCAGGCAAGGATTAAAGCACTCCGGGCCAATCACTTGGACCGGGAATCTTCTGCGACGAACGCAACTCGGTTCTTTCGGCAGTGCAAATCCCTGACGGCACTGTTATTGAAGTGCGATACGGGCTCGAGAGTTTACCGGTCAGTCGGACAGAGTCGTGACGTGATCAGAGTCAAGAGCAAGAATGCGAACAATAGTGGACTGGGCTCAATCAAGAAGGGCTGGCCCGTCATCAACAAGGCTGCCTAGTTACTTGCGTGGGATACCGTCACCTTTAGAGCGAAGGTCGCGACCATGTGAATGGTTGAAACCTGTCCATGCATGTATTGAACAATGGAGTCTCCATGCCATGGCGTGCAGTTGACCATAGTCTCATTAGGTAGCGTGCGGAAGCAAAGGAATTTCTATCAAAGAGTTCCATTGTGGAAAGCAGAACCATGATGAATGCTCGGATGGTCCTTTCCACTGCTACATGTACTTATTGATGATTCATAATCCTGACCAGATGGACCCAACCTGTTCCAATGGCCAGGTAAGAAAATGCCGGTGACCATCCTCAAGTAGCGCGTAAACGCCATTCATGACCTGAAGTGACCAGCCCTCCATGAACCAGTGATGTTCCAATTGCTGTAGCAGCACAGCATAGTACCCAAGCAGAACCAGGGGTACAGGGTCTCTTCTCTGTATAGACAATACGAAGTCTTCAGTCAGCTCATATAGCCAGCCGTAAATGATAGAAGGCATCTGCTCGTTGTCGAATTTTGGCTCATCAGATGCAGTAAATAGCTTCCTGTAACATTCCTTCAAGTGGGTAAAAGCAGGCCAATGAATGCTGTCTTCGGCGGCATACACCTCGCCCACAAGCTCTTCGATCTCAGCCAGAGGCTTCTCCCACTGCAGTGCAAGCGATGTTATGCTAAGAGCTGAAGTTTGTGGTTCATTCCATGTAGAACTACCACAAAGCAGAGCGGCCGTTGATTGCTTTCTGATATTTTTTAGTCCTGTCGTGCTGATCACGATCTTCACTCCCCTCATCAACGCCCACCATGATACTTCGTCCTCCTCGGCGGCGACAAGTAGAATATTCCCTGGTGATGGGTCTGTAGCAAAAGATGACAGACTTATTAGGACTGTAGCGTAGTAGAGGGCCTGCGAATTGTCGTCATTGACCTGGGCGAGCATGGCCGCCACTTCTGGAAATGCCGCCGCTGCATAGTCTTCTGCCAGACGATGATAGTAACCCGCTTGATCGGGTCGTAGTCGGGTGAGGTGTCGGGCGGTAATTGATAGGACCATTCGCATAACGCATTCGTACTTGAAGCCGAGTGGTGGAATCACATCCCTAAAGATTTGGGGGTCTCCTAGGGTTATCGACGTGTGACACATGTAGTGGTGTAGGAGTTCGAGGCTCTGGATATCGAGAATACAGGCATTACGCAAAAGGGGATCGATGTGACTAGAGGGTGTCTGGCCATAGTCTGATTCCATATCAGAGGCCGTCGGAGTAGGTATGTCTGTGGCGGGCTTCCTTTCTTCGTTTTGTCGAACTCGTTTTCCTTGACGCTCGTCGTCCCCTAGGGACGTGGAAGTCTGCTCCTCTGTGGATGCAGATAGATAGTCGCATTTCATTGAAAATCTCACGCAGTTGGTGCACTCGGGGTGAATCTCATCGCACTGTTAAGCAAGAATGTTAGTTGAGCAGCTCGATGAACAAGTAGTAGCCAAGGGTATGTTTTCCGGGCGACGCTGATCTGATGGATGTAACTTAGCCAACCTTGACTTTGCGTCTTTTGCAATTCTGACAACCATTTCTAGACTTTTTGTGCGACCTTCTCTTATTTTTGCGACACGACCCGCAGCAACAGCCTCCGGACCGGGTGGTCGTCGAGGAGGAACCCAAGCAAATGTCGATGCCTTCGCCTGCCATAGCCACGGCAGATGTTTCAATTCTTTTCTGACGGTTCACTCTCCCGAGCGACAGTGCATATATAATAGCACAGATATTTCGAGGCTATCCAGGGTCAGGGCACTTTTCTGTCGCGTTGCTGAAGCCGGAGACATTGCTCAGAAGTCGGCGCGACTCCCATGCTGTGGGCGTGCTGTGTCTTCGAAAAGGTGTAAGCTCGGTCTCGCGTTCCGACGACGGTATTTATTTCCGTCACTAAAAAGCATTTAGCAGAGATGAGCAGAACAACTAAGCTTTATTGTGGTTGAGAGAAAACAAGCCTTTAACCAGTTCGTCGTATCGAATACGAAAATTCTCCGACGAGCGTCGATCATTGGATGACCTGTCAGAGGCCTCGGGATTCGTCACCGTCTTCTCCACTCACGCAGAGTCAATACCAAAGAAACACGCACGGGGCTGGTCTGAGTTGTTCGAGGACATTATCGCACGAGCGTCGAAGCCACAGGGGATTCTTCGAAAGTTCTGAAGCCATGTGAATGATTCAGGCTGCATTGACATTTGCCCCAGGTTCTATTGGGGGCTTTCTGGGCGCAAACAGAAGCCACCCTTGAATTCTTGATGACGCTTGAGATAGTGGACGTCGCCTCTATTGTTGAGCCGCCGATGACCCCAACGGCTCGAAGTATGTTCGGCTTCCCTCGTGTTCTACAGCCAGTCCGATGGAGCTCACAAAGATCTGCTTCGTATAATTGCACTTGTCTGGAAAAGTTGGCGCCTGAAGTACGTGTAGTGAGCTGACAGGTAATGCAGTTGGCAAGGCGATCAACGCTAAACAGCGTGAACCGAGTGGCTGAGATTAACTCGACGTCATCTCCATTATCGCATAGGCCTGGGGAACTACTGAAGTACATTCGAAAAGACAACTGATCCTCCTCATTTCTCACTTGACAAGAACTGTAGCTCTGTTGAGTCACAGTGCCTCATTCCCCTGGACATTATACTCTTAGCAGGTTGCAAGAA